ACACACACACACACACACACACACACACACACACACACACACACACAAACACAATTGCTTATGTAATCTAGAGACACTATTATTCTTTTACACTTGTATTTAATTGATTGTTGACAGCAGAGTCAGACAGGATATGTGGGGCAAGAGCATAACGAATGCAACCGAGATGACGCTGACGTTGTAATTACAACGTCCTGCATTCTAGTCTGGATGGGGACCTTTGTTGAATGTAATTCCATTTCTCTCTCCCATCGTTTCCTGCCTGTCTTTACTGTCAGCTCGCTAATAAAGACATGAAATCTCTCCTCAAAAAGGTCACAGGAAAGACTCCAGACACATACATCTGTCTGTCTCTGTGTGTGTGTGTGTGTGTAACTGAATGCTCGTGTGTCGTACCTCCTCATCACTAACCACGCCTCCGTCAAACACCTTCGCTACCAACTCATGACTGCAGGTATCCAGCAAGAACACTGAACAACTGGAGAAAGAAAGGAGAGAGAAGGAGAGAGAAAGAGAGACAGACCGAGTTAGAGGGCTGATGGGGAGCGAAGCAAAGCAGAGAAAATTAGGATGTTTTTTATCTCATTTCATCTCAGGTCATTTTGCAACTTTAATTAAAAGCGGCAAGTCGGTTAAGAACAAATTGCCAAGATAGCCTTTTCAAATGGAGATAAAGACATCCACACTGAACACACTCTATTTCAAACACACATTGAAACATCCCTTTGAAGATGAATCAGAGGGCTTACATCTCTGCATCACTGAGGTTCCTGGCCTCCACTATAATTTCCTGTAACAGCACTGAGACATCATCTGAAAGAATTAGAGAGAGAGAGAGGGGGGGGGGGGGGGGATCAAAAGGGAAAACAGAGGAAATTAAACGAATAACAGCAAAGCCCAGATAGACGGAAACAGAGATTATGCAGAGAGTTGCTGTGGATTAGCTGTACAAGATGATAAGAGCCTCTATAATCAGCGGTTTGGTACAGTGAGAGGGCAATTTGCTCTACCAGCGGATCAATTCTTTGCACCTGCAATCACGATGAATCATCAATGACTTATTCTGCAGTTGGTGCGTACTGTTGGATTAGAATCTAAATGACTCAGTGTAATTAGACGATAGAGAGGTGGAGCCATCGCTTAATGCCCTTCTCATTTTACGGTTATGGTCCTGGGTTTAATCACATTTTTGGTAATAACTCACTCAATTACGTGCGCCATTCGTTTCACTAGGTGATCACTTAAATATCGGCCATTAACGCAAATTGTACTACGACATTCTTTCTTCACAGACGGGCAGAACTTACCCAAGTGTGTGAAAAGATTCTTGGCCACTTGTAAAAGCGCCTGTGTGGAAAAAACAGTGGACAAGAAAAGCTCTTTAACTTCAAGCATATTTGTGTTGCAATATGTGTGAGAGTGTGTGTGTATGAGTGAGTATGTGTGTGGGCTAGAGCGGCATACCTGGCACTCCACTTTGAGTTTCTGTTCTTTCTGGAAGGCCAACGTTGAAGTGAGGACCGTTGAAGTGTAGCAGAAACAGTGCTGGATTGCATGCTCATCTGCCTCGGTGTGTCTGCAGCGGACAAGGCACAATAACACACACACACACACACACACACAGTAAACGGTAAATTGTAAATCAACAGTTGATTGTCTTAAAAATCAATCTGCAACTAATCTGATCTGAATGGATGAATCATTTTTCAAGCAAGTCATTCTCTGGTTCCGGCTTCTCAATAATGAGGATTTGCTGCATTTTCTGTTTTATATCACTGTAAACTGAAAATGTAAACTGAAATAATTAAAAGATTTTATATGTAAAAAATGATCAGTTTATGAAATATGCATTGTTATAGATTAAACTAAACAACAGTATATACATCTCTTAAAATGACACATCTACGAATTATACTATTCATGAAAAATAAAATTCCAATAAAACATATATGATAAATGTCTCTCTTGAGCCATTTTGCGTAACGAGGACTTTTACTCTTGACAGTTAAAACAAGTTTTGCTGCTCTTTACTTTGCACTTTACTAAGTAATGTAAAGATCTCACGACTTCTTCCACCACTGCATTATATAGATCACACAATAAATGGGGTGATTGAGAAATTATCGGTTTTAATTGATAATGAAAATAATGATTATTTTGCAGCCCTACAACAGAGGCACGATGCAGAGTTATTGACTAAAATCACGTGAAAAAACAAACAAAATCAAACTCTGCTTTCCTGCAGGTGGTGAATGTGAGTGTCACCCTCCTTGGCAGCATTAAGCAGGCAAATGAAGACTGATTAATGAAATTATCTGCAGTGACCACGGTGTGATGCTGGTAATTGCTTGCAGTTTTCTCGCTTTGCCTACAGAGGGCAGTGGCACGTTATTCTGTTGATGTCCTGAGTGATGTGTTGCTCAAGGGCTTTATTTCCCTATCGTAGCAAGGGAGGCAGGATTTGACCCAAGTCTAGAAAAAGCACTGAGAAGCTCAATTTAAGGGCAATTAAGTTCATAGTTTTATTATTCTTCAGTCTAGTAAATCAGGCTGGAAAATCATTTTCTGTTGTACAAGCTAGTTTTTTGCAGTCTAGATAGAAAGAAGTCTAAATTTCTGCAGCTAGAATGAAAACCAGCAGGAGTCGATTTCCAAAGACAATAATTTGGACACACACAGCAAAGAAAGCATCAGTATGAGACTCTGCATCAGGAATAAATCCAACATCTAACTAATACGGCCTTCCTAACATTGCTGCCAACTTGTACTGTATATATGTTGAATATTAAGTCTAAACATTCTTAGACTGCTGCTTTTGGGGTGCGGGATCATTATTTTTGTTTGTGTATTCACATCATGTGTAGTGTTCTTATCTGCTGCCCGGCACCAAAACTGAGTTATGGACCTGTTACTGGTGTCACAACATGTGAACAAGAGAAGTTCCAAAAAACTCTGCTTATGAATATGCAATCTATATGATGAGGGGATGCATCTTTGTGATCTATGCCTCTACTAGAATCAGGATGACTGTGCTAGAAGCAAAGGATAGATTTATCACATTTTGTGCACAGTTGCGACTATAATCCCGCTGCTGTTACTATGGTAATCAGATGCCAGCTCTGTCATCAGTGCCACTGGCAGAGGGAGAAATTACAGGACATGATCCCCTCTCATCTATCTTAGTCTTCAGAGATAGAGGGAGAGAGAGCATGCAGAGGAGAGGGATTGTACTGTATGTGAGTGCAAGCATATGAGTGAAGTCTGTTTCGGGGAATAAAAAGATATAAAACACATTAATCTCCCAGCACTTAAACATAAGTAGAGACATGCTGCCTGACAGATGGGTGGATGGATGGATGGATGGATGGATGGATGGATAGATAGATAGACAGAAACTAAAACAAAAAAACTTTCCTCACACTACCACATTGTTTCTTTAACAAACAGACACAGCTGGAGAACGTTTTTACAGACTTCTGTATTCAGGAGATAGCATGCACCATAGCTCCAGGCAGTATCACACGCACACACACGCACACACACAGACAAATGCATGCCAAAACATGGTGCCAAACCAGGCAGCCAAGCCACCCGCTGTCAGACTCATGACCTGACTATAGATCATCACATAGCCATCTGCATTGTCACACACATATACACACACACACACACACACACACAGCCAGACTGCGATTAGACACAAGCTCCAAAGTGAAGGCATCCGTTCCTGAGGGAGCATGCAGCACATTCTGCTGGTTTCAGTGGCAACAGCAGCAAACTGTTCACTTCTAAAAACTCAACAAATCTCAGCTGTTGAGCTCAACCAATCAGGCCTACCCATCCCAAAATTACTGTAAGCCGCTGTCAGATAAATCTTTGTCTCTACCATGAGTCAGTGCTTCAGGAATTAGGAAAAGCCAAGTCATCTCAGACTGACATCCCAGCATTTTAAATATACTTCAGCAGTAAAGCTATCTGTCCCTAAGTTATAGTGATTTTAAAGGTAAGCTAAGAGGTTGAAACAGCTGTTTTCACCGTAACTCTACTCAGCATGAAATGGTTCAACGTGAACTTATGATCACAAAAAGGAAAATGGTCTTTCATATACATACATACCTCTGCCCACCCTGTTTGTTGAAGGCACAAGCTAGTGCCACCACCTGACCGGTGGCCCTGCTGGCCACTGGTACACAAAGCATGGAGGAGATTTCACAGCCCAGCATGCTGGACAGCTGCCGACGCTCCTCCTGAGAGGAAAAGAGGCAGAAAAAAATAATCTGTTTAATATAAAGGCCGAATAGATAGATGGATAGATAAGAAAGAAAATGTCTCCTTACAGCACTGATGTCTTGGAGAGTAATTGACTTCTTCTTCTCGACAACCTGACCAAAGCGTCCAAACATCAGCTGAACAGAGGAGAGAGAAGAAGAGAGATAAAAAAAAAAAATGTATGATGAGGGCGAGAGACAGGAGGAAAGCAGAATTGATGAGAGAGTCCCTGGAGATTATTATAGAGCCAAAATATATAAATAAAGTTTTTTTATTCTGAGAGAAGTCCATCCCCTGGCTTGTTAAAGCACAAATCTAAGGTGTCCTACACTAACTACTCTTAAGATTTCACAAATCATCTGGCTTGGGATACACGGTCTATTCACACCGTAGTGGAAAGCCTGTTAAATGTCATTATTATATGAATAATAATAATGCTAATATCTTATGTTTATTCTATTGTCTCAATCAAAGAGACCTACACACTGGGCTACTACACTCTGTTAAAGGATCCCTATTAAAAATGCCAACAAACCCCCCTTAAACAGAACTTGGTATACCACCTAGTGTAAGAACCACAAGTGAATGAATGAACGTTGACTGAATGAAGGCACGATGCACGTAACAGGGAACAAAGAACACGAACAGACCAATAGATGCAAATAATGACAGAATGAATAAATGACTTTTCATGGGAATACATTATTGTATTTGTTGGTCTCACCGGGAAGCTCATCTCCTCCTCCAGGACTTTGTCTCCAACTACCTAAAAGTCACAGAGTTCAAAGGTCACGGCTTATTTAATTGAGTCCTGCTAAAATGGTAGATGGCATTTATTTGGGTGTGTTTGTGAGTGTGTGTGTGTGTGTGTGTGTGTACCTGGCAGAAAAGCTGGTGGTTGTCCTCAGACACCAGTAGCAAACAACAACACTGCGAGTGAGTCTGCTGCTGCAGCTGAAGGAGAACACAAACACAAATTCAATCACAAAAAAAGCTCTCTTTATCAGACTCAGTCAGATTGTTTTTAAGGCCTCACTTCAAGATGTTCCTGAGCGAAGTCGAAGTGTGAAGATAAGATAAGAAATCTGTGGACAGTGGAAAATGACTGGGGCTAGCTAGGGTGGGGCAAGAATTCAAGGTTGCCTTCATTGTTCTGCAGCAGCATCAAATTGTGAATAAAGACTCATTTCTATTATTTACAGAAAAATAAACGTCTCACACTATAAAATTTGGAATGAATTTAGATTTAGATTTTGAGAGAGGATTTATTTATAGCTTTACATTTCTTGTCATATATTCACATTAATATTGCATTGTTTTACACATGGGCATCTTTGAATAAGTGATCTAAACATTCATACCGTGTATATAACAGAAAATACATGAACATGCTGGGATTTTAACTCAAGATCATTCTTTGAATATGAAATCCCATAAACACAGAGACACAGTCACATATACTGTAGGTGTCTGTGTGTGTCTAAACGAAGGAGTGTGTGTGTGCACTCTGCGCCTCTGCTGTGTGCTCAACACCTGCAGAGTCGCAACCAATTTTCTGCTGTTATTTGAGATGAGAAACGTTCATTCATAGACTGAAATTCACGCTGAGGTGGGAACACACACACACACACACACACACACACACACGCACATGTGCATGATGGCACAAATACTGTTGGTACACAAGCATATACATGATCACACACCCACACACAGTCAAAAGAGCTGCGTTTCCTCACACATCATTCTTCTCTGTAATCCAGAGCTGGATAGAGAACAAGCAGGAAAGGGATATATACAACAGCAGATGCCAACACACCCGCCCCCCAGACACACACGTAAGCAGTCGACATGCACACAAACAGCACAAATCACACACCACACAAAGCAAGTCGCTGCACCCACACATAATAATAAACCCCTCCCCCCCCTTTTTTTCCCAAATGCAGTTAATCCCATGAGAGCTGCCCCAAGCACTTCCCAACAATCTGACGATTCCTCAGAAGCAACAATCTCCCGCTCCCTTTCCTCCCGCCTCTCCTCCCTCTCACCCCCTTTTACAACGGTAACAATAAAAAGGCGAAACAAATCATGTCTGATTCAAAATACATTTTAAAACCCCTGCAGCCTTTTGCACCATCACAACTTCTCACCCCCCCCCCCACCACCCCTTCCTTCAGATGCAGGAAAAATACTACAAATTCAGGTTGAGAGGCGACACTTCCAACGTTTTAAATGCAGGGTGCACTTCTGCTGCAGTGTTGTTCAACCCCATGGAACTAGTCCTGCAGAGTCAAGGTAGCAGGGAAGGGCAGGTAGGCGATAGCTGTTTAGATTTGACCCTTTTCACAGAAAAATACCCTGATTTTTAAAAAGGAGCCGATTGCTTTAAACCAATTTTCATAAAGGAGTTTATGTCCCCATGCATCAAAAGGTATCTATGTGTTCTGCTGCAAGAGGACACAAATCACTGCTGCTGACGCTAAACGAGGTCCTTGTTAAAGAAAAATGAAAAGAGGGTGAAAAAAAAGCCTCTGATTATGCACCAGAGTTCATTTCATTCAGCAATAATTCAAGATAAAGGGTCAATATTTTAACTACTTTTAGTTCGTAAGCTTGGAAGGGTATTTGTAACATCAGATTTTCACATTATTTTTCTTTATGATGCATTAATAAAAATCTAAGGTCTTATCTGTTGTTTGATAATATATATATTTTGAATACCTGAATCTCCTGAATCTCCTTGGATATTCCGTATATTAGGGCTGCAAGTAATAATAATTCTGCCGGTATTTCTGCTGATTATTTTCTAGGTTAATCAATTAATTGTTTGTTCTCTAAAATGTCAGAATAAAGTCAAAATGTCCAAACAACTCCAAGTTACATTTTCAAATTGTTTCATTTTGACCAAATGATGTTCAGCAAATCCTATGAATGACCAATGAATGTTAAGTCCTTGATTTTTGATGTGGAGACAAAGTCTGACTTACCAAAACTTGTTATAAAAAATTCAAAACAAGTCCTTCAAGCTCAATAAGTAGTATAAAAAAAGAATCTTAGAGGTATGTAAGTATGTTAGAACCTTACATCCAGTAAGGTTCTCTGTAGCTGTAGCTTTGTCCCTTTGATGCAGTATAACCTTCAGATCTCTGTCCTCTCTCGCTTTATCCCTCTCTATCTCATAGTTTCTTTATCGGTGAATAATTCCATGCATTTAAATTGTTGTCAGGTTTCTGCACATACTGTACAGCTGATAACTCCTCTTTCTGTCTTTTCTCCCAACTAAAGCTTTTCCCTCACTGCAATAAATCATTACACCTCTCCCTCTGCCTCCCTCCTTTTTACAGAAAGCCTCTCACATAGATATATGGAGGGGGTATAGTATGGGGAGACTATTGTGTGATAAAAAGCTTGTGGTACCGGTAATGACTGCAAGAAGGGAAGGATTTCATGTTTTGCATGTACTGTTCGTCTTTAACTCAGTGTGCGTGTGCACAAGGGAGCATGGAAGATCTCAACCACTTACATAATTGATGACTTTGAGCTGGAGAGAGGCTGCATCAAGGTCAAAGAGCTCACCTGAAAGAGAAGAGGGAGAGAGAGAGTGATGGGAGTAAAAACCAGAGAGGAGCAAGGGCAGATTGGCGTTAAGGAAGACGGGGGGGGGGGGGGGGGGGGAGAGGGTCGACTTTGAAGAGAGGGGAAAGAGAAAGAGGGGGGGGG